GCTCAGTGGTAGAGCCCCTGCCTAGAATCCCCTAGTGAGGGGTTGGGGGCGTGGCTCAGTGGTAGAGCCCCTGCCTAGAATCCCCTAGTGAGGGGCTGACCCTCTGCCTAACATGCAACCCATCCTGTGTTCAGATCCCAGTGGAAAGAAGAAAAAAGAGACTCAGTTCTTGTCACGGAGCCATGTGAGGACTTAGCTGCCTCCTCCTCTAATGCCCTTGACTCTCTGTTGCCCCCACCCCAGACTACTCCAGCCCCTGCCTACCTTCAGCAGGCTGTTTCCACTAAAGTTGAGGTATCGTGGCATATGTCTGTTATCCAGAACCTCCACCTTTTCCATCCCTTTGCTGGTACAACTAAGGATGGTGACCTGCCTCCTGCTGCTACCGAGGAGTCTGGATACCCATGTGGTAATTCATCACAGCAGGAAGACCCTTACCACTGTCCAAGGGATCAGATCGCTGGTGGCTGTGCTAAAAAGAAACTCCTGAAGGTGTTTAAGAAGAAATTCGCCTGCAGTGGTCCTGTGGTTGAACATCCAGGGATGAGGAAGCAATTCAGCTACATGCTGACCAGCACAAGAACATACACCAGTTCCTGAAAGAGCCTGTCCCGGCTAAGAACCGTCAGCTAGCTGAAGGCTGGTGGATTCTGAAGCTTCAGTGAGGCTTTCCTTGCAATGGCTAAAACTTCCCTTCTGTCCCTTGTCACAAAAACCTACAGCCCAGTTAACTGTTGGGAGTGTCTGCTTTTTTTCATTTTTTTGAGATTTATTTTATTTTGGAGTATGAGTGTCTGTACTGTAAACTGAGAGTCTGAAGAGAGTGTTGGACCCCTGGGACTGGAGTAGCCCCCAGAGAGGTGCTCTACCACTGCACCTGCATGGTAAGCCACCATGATGTGGGTACTGGGAACTGAACCCCAGTCCTCTGCAAGAACAGCAGGATTCTTTTTTGTTGTTGTTGTTGTTGTTGTTTATTTGGTTTTTTGTTTTGTTTTGTTTTGTTTTTCGAAACAGGGTTTCTCTGTGTAGCTTTGCACCTTTCCTGGAACTCGTTTTGTAGACCAGGCTGGCCTCGAACTCACAAAGATCTGCCTGCCTCTGCCTCCCGAGTGCTGGGATTAAAAGCGTGGGCCACCACCGCCCCGGCTAAACAGCAGGATTCTTAACCACTGAGCTATCTCTTCAGTCCCCAGAGATCCACTTCTAACATGATCTAGTATACTGCTTTCATACAATAAACCAAAAAGATCCATGAAAAAAGAAAAAGACCCAATAAGAGGTAGATACTTGTGGTCTAAATCCAATTCAGATACCCCAGAGTCCTTGCTAGAGTTGGTTGAGCCTCAAGTGTTTGGGTGCCTTGACCAAAGAAATATGAACATGGATTTGCTAGTGGGGCTTCTGGAACTGTTTCTTCCACTATGAAAATGAGATCACCAGACAGAAAACATTGTCCTGCAGTCTGGTCTGCAGGGGATCCTAGAGGTTGGCAGCCATGTGGCTGGAGCTCACGATTTAAGAACATACAGTGCTTGACTTAGGGTTTCTATCGCTATGATGAAATACCATGACAGAAAAGGAAGCTGGGGAGGAAAGGGTTTGTTTGGTTTACTCTTCCCGGGCATAGTCCATCACTGAAGGAAGTCAGGACAGGAACTCCAGCAGGGCGGGAACCTGGAGGTAGAAGCTGATGTAGAAGCCAAGGAGGGGTGCTGCTTATTGGCTTGCTCTTCCTGGATTGCTCAACCTGCTTTCTTATAGTTTTGTACCCAGAGTACCCCCAAAGACCACCAAGAGACTGAATCCGATGCAAAAGCAAAGAGTCTTTGTATTGTTACGAGTTAACTCAGGACTCTTCGTTCATCTGATGCAGAAGCAGAGCAGGAGAGACCCCAGTAGCAATGGGGCAGGGTTTTTAAAGCAAGTGGGCTTGGGGTCTACAGACTACATAGGAACAGACTCAGGATTGGTTTGTGCGAGTGGCAATCATGTTAGTAATTTTTAACTGACTAGGGTTAGTTGGGGTTACAGTTATCCATTTTGGGGCAGGCCTGGACAAGTCCCAGGCTTTGTCCTTGAGCTGCCATGGACATACTGACTGTGGGGGCTGGCTCAGTGGCCCAGGCTTTGTCCTTGAGCCGCCATGGGGGCTGGCTGGCCTAGCACGTACTGACTGTGGGGGCTGACTCAGTGGCCCAGGCTCTGTCCTTGACTCATGCACACAGCTCTAAGTTGGTGAAGGGTCCCCGACTGTAAACAATTGGCTGAACCTTGAGCAGTCAGAGTACGTGCAGGAAGGGAGCTACTGCAAGGACTGTGTCTTTTGTTCATGGCCCTCCCAGAAACTGCTTGCTCAGGTCTCAGGAAATTGAAATTGAGGCCTGTTCTCTGAGAGAAGACTGAGCAGCCTGTTATGGTGTCTGCTTGGTCCTTTCAATAGAACCCAGGACCACCAGTGCAGCAGCCACAGTGGCCTGGGCCTGCCCCGATCAGTCATTAAATAAGACAATTCCCTGTGGGCTGCCTACAGTCCCAATCCTACGGAGGCACTTTCTTAAGTGAGGCTCTCTCTCAGATGACTTCAGCTTGTGTCAAACTGACATAAACCTATCCAGCACAGAGAGAGAGAGAGAGAGAGAGAGAGAGAGAGAGAGAGAGAGAGAGAGAGAGAGAGAAGAAAGGAAGGAAGGAAGGAAGGAAGGAAGGAA